ACAGAACAGGTCTTTAAAAATGTATATTTAGTATTAGACTGACTGTTTGCAGCAGTGGGCAAGATTTTAGAGGCTGAGTTCCAAGTTTTTATTATTCTTTCCTGGAAAGAAGGATGGAGGCGGAGCTGTGGGGGAGGCCAGGGTAATGGTTGCAGGTAGCAAGGATGGTCCGGCATTCTGAAGGGAGGCTGTTCTCTGACCACCCTTGGCAAGCTCTCTTTCTTCCCCTTCTTTTCCATTTTAGGCCACTGTCACTGCAAAAGGTGATTTCCTTTTCCCCTCAACACTCTTCTAAGGACTCACAGCAGGGAGTTAACCCATGATTAGAAATTATCCCTTACGAAGAACATTTGAGAACTAGCTGGAATCAAAAATAGGAGTGAGGAAGGCTGCTTGGGAGGCTGCAGTAGTAGAGGAGAGGATGTAGCAATAGGGATGTGAGAAGGTACTAAAACAAATTCTTTAAACTTACACTTGTATCACGGTATCACAAGACATACAGCAGCAAGCCAGGGTGACATACATGGCATAGGACAGCAGTTCTCAAACTTTGCTACTCATTAGCATCAGCTAATGGCCAGGATGCACCTGATGCCAATTAAATCAGAATCCCTAGGTGTGTGACCCAGCCACAAGTTGTTTTGTTGTTAACTCCCCAAGCAATTCCTATGTGTAGCCAAGTTTGAAAAGCAGTGTGGGAGAATAGCACTTCTCAAACTGTAAGGTGTCTAAGAACAACCTGGGGATCTTATTAACATGGAGATTCAGATTAAGCAGGTCCGGGATGGGGCCTGAGATTCTGAGATGAGGCCACAGATGCTGGTCCAGGAGCTGTTTTGGCAAAGCTACATATGACCTTGCTCTAGGTGCTGCCTCTGTGTGTGCCCAGAGCTTCTGGGGAAGGACTGTAAATTGGGCTACTATAGTGTTAGGCCAAGGAATGTTTTTACAAGGTGTATAACCTTCTTATTGTGCCTCTGAGATAATTCAGAGATGCCAGCATGGTCATCTTGCTGATTCTCAGATCCATCCTGTATGGCTTACAGAGCCTGTAGAGGCTGTGGGGTATTCTGGAGAAATACTCTGTGTGTCAGTGAAGGACCTGCTCATTCTTTTTCTCTCTGACTCTAAGAGCAGGGAGCTCCTGATCACATTTAGTCTGTTCTTAAAGGGATCCGAGGCTCAGTTCTGAAAATGAAATCAGTCACATGAAAGATGTTCACTCTTCTACATGTGTGCCAGCATCCTGTGGCACAGGGGACAACTGAGCTGAAAGATTTCACTTCCTAGCATCCGTTAAGAGGACACAGAAAAGACAAAGAGTCCTTGGAAGTAAAATAATTTTATAAATTGGAGCCCATGGTTCACATGATGTACACTTTGCACACTTACATTTCAAATGTCTTTGTTGTCCTTTTTCAGCATACAGGCCATAATTTCCATCAACGAAAATGAAAAATGGTGATGCAAGCTATACTTTATCTACAATCACCAACTAGATGAATTCTCAGTGGTCTCTTTAGAGTCTCTGAACAGTTAATCTTTGTAAAAATCAATCAAAGTAATCCATGACTCGAGTTCAGTTTGGCCAACACACCAAGAGCAGGTGGTTAAAAACATTCGGACTCGATGCTTTTCGCAATACAAATTCAGAGGAAGAATCTTTGCACAAATCCCATGATCAGCATCCCACTACCTCCAATCTAACAGTTCTGACTTCTTTCATCCAATGCCATCTACAAAGTCCCAACAGCAATGCTTTCGAGGTTTTTCAAGTACACATGTTGGGTGGCAAAAACAATATGACAAGAAGAAGAAGACAGAAGGCTACGGTGAGAGAGTTAGCCAGCTGAAGAGGAGTTACAGGCATGGAAATGTGCTTTTTTGAACAGGAAGCTCAGCTTTAGGTGAGGTCGAGTTAGAGCCCAAAGAAGGCCTGATCCCGGAGCACAGAGCCTGAAAACCAGGGCAGTGGCAGCGGGTACTGTGCACATTCGCGCCCCGGCAGGGGCTTTTGCTGCTGTGGGTAGTTTTGATGCTAGCTAGCTTCATTTCTAATTTCCCAGCTCCCAGGCATCCTACATAGATTGCACATCAGACAACTGATGGAAACTTGACACATCTGGTGGACTTTTAAAAAACAGTCCTACAGTTCTAAGGCTAATGCTTTGTTCAAAAGCAGTTTAAAATGATTATTTAGTCCACATAACCTCCCGATGTGGTAGTACCATACTATGATTCCCACTCTCAATACTGAGATAGGAGAGACAAGGTTACGTGATTTGCCCAACGTCACACAACACGGCCGGCAACATCGGGCTCAGCTGAGTTCCTGATTTTGTCGGTCCTGGTGCACAGGGCACAGGGCAGCCTCTGAGGACACACGGGCCGGTGCTACTGCAGAGGGGCTATGAGGCTTTTTTTTTTTTTTTTTTTGAAGACAGAGTCTCACTTTGTCATTCAGGCTGGAGTGCAGTGGTGCACCCTCCGCCTCCCATCAAGCGATGGGATTCAAGCGATTCTCCTGCCTCAGCCTCCTGAGCAGCTAGGACCACAGGCATGAGCCGCCACGGCAGCTAATTTTTTGTATTTTTAGTAGGGACGAAGTTTCACCATGTTGGCCAGGCTGGTCTCGAACTTCTGACCTCAAGTGATCCGCATGCCTTCGGCCTCCCAAAGCGCTGGAATTACAAGCGTGAGCCACCGCGCCTGGCCGAGGCTTTTTCAAATCATGTTAAAGGATGAGAGGCACAAACAGCCCGCCAAACTCTCCCCTGCTCTCCCCATCAACTGCATGGGTTTTGCAAGGAGGAAAAACTCATATCCCGGGTCCTCTTACCAGCAACCCCTAAAAGGCGTCTTTATTTCAGAACTATGAGCAGTTAGTTGGGAAGCCTCCCAAGACCTGCCCTGGCCCCAGCCCACAAAGTGAGGGAACCGCACCCTTCCGAGGGACCAAAGTCGCGCCGAAGACCGAGAAGGTTCTTCTTTCTGATGGAAAAGCCTCGGAAGCCAAGCTGCGGTGCTGCCTGGCGACGTGCAGCCGAGAGGGAGCGCTCCCTACCCCAACCCAGGCTGCACACTCGCCCCGCAAGGCGTGCGCCCACCCGGGCGCACCAAGCAGTCGCCTACTTTTAGCATCTTCCGCCTAGGGTCGCCGAGCCCTGGCGGCCGAGGAGGCGGCGGTGTGGGGAGTTCAGCCTCCGCCCTCCCCTTTACCCCACCCCCACCCCGCCGCCAGCCTGACCGGCCAGTACCCGCGGGCGCCCCGGGTTGGCCGTGTCACCCTCGTGGCCACCTGCCCGCGGCCGGCCCTCCGCGGCCAGTGCCCCGAGTCGCCCTTACCTGAGCCGGAGATGTGGACCCGGAGTGGGCGGCCCCTGCTTGAGGACGACGAGAGGTCGCTCTGCGATCGGCCGCGGGGGCTTGGGTCCCCAGGCAGCCAGTGCGGGGCAGGCGCCGGCGGCGGGGCAGGCGCCTCGGACTGGGGGACTGGGACCGCCACCGCCTGTCCGGCCGGATTGACCGGGAACCCCGCGGGGCGCCAACCCGCCTCGGCCATCGGCTCCCCGCGGCGGGGCCGGAGCACCGGGTGCGGCCGGCGCCGAGGGCTGTGCTGCCAGCTGCTGCCCTGCTCTGCCACGCGCACGGCGACCCGGAGGCAGAGAAGGGCGGGGAGGTGGACGCCGGGCGCCGAGGAGCCGAGGAGCCGGTGCGGAGGGCGGGAGGAGGAAGAGGACAGAAAAGTTTGCACAGGAAGGAGCCGCCTACAGCCGGCTCTCGCTCCAGCGGGCGAAAGCTGCAGGGCTCAGAGCTGGGCCGCCCTCGGTGCCCGCGAACCTGCCCGGCTGCTCCTCCCCCAAGCCCCGGGCACTGGCCCCTGGCAGGAGAGCAGCAGGGGGTCCCCTCCGCGGAGCGCTGTTCACCCAGAAAAGCCGAGTTTGGGCTTCAGGAGCTGGGATGCAAGGTCAGAGCTAAAGATATCATTTCCATTGTGGTGGGTGGGGGTGCCATGTACACAGGCGTGAGCCGCCCTGTGATGGAGCAAGAATGATCATACCCAGTTAACAGATAGGAAACTCCGACGTGAAAATGCATTGCACTTGCCAGGTGGGTTAGGGGCAGATTCTGGAGTCCCTTGTGAAGTGAAGCCTAATGCCCTTCCCCACTCACACCCATACCCCTTGCCCTCAAAGCCCATCTCTACCTCTCACGGTTGCCCACATCCCTGGGTATCTGTCTGCTGGGTGTAGGGAGCAAAAACTAGCTTCCCTCTACCCTTCTAGGTTCTTTGGCTGGTCTATGAATTAAATTGCCATAAGGCAGATTAACAGGACAAAGAAAACCCATTTTAATTACCAACGTTCACATGGGAGTTTCACAAAATATGAGGCTCAAAGGGTCAGATGACTGAAGCTTGTATAGCATCCTGAGTTACAGATAAGAACAGGATCTTGGAATGTGGGGGGTAGGCAGGTGACACAAGTTATGGGAGAGTGGGGGGAGGAAATGGATAAAGAATAAAGGTTGTCTCTTGTGCAAATTTTAAAAAGCTGATCAGGTAATAAGGAGTTGTTTTCTAGCAGAAACATAGGCAATAATCTGTCTGGGCCTGCTGTGATCCCAGATTTTCCCATTCCTGACAGATGAACTCCTATTGGAGGATCTGTCTTTTTTGGGGGCAGGGAGGACGGAGTTTCACGCTTTTGGCCCAGACTGGAGTGCAATGTCTCTATCTTAGCTCACTGCAACCTCTGCCTCCTGAGTTCGAGTGATTCTCCTGCCTCAGCCTCTCGAGTAGTTGAGATTACAGATGCCCGCCACCACACCCAGATAATTTTTGTGTTTTTTCTTGTTGTTGTTGTTGTTTTTGTTTTTAGTGGAGACAGGGTTTCACCGCGTTGGCCAGGCTGGTCTCGAACTCCTGACCTCAGGGTGATCCACCTGCCTCGGCCTCCCAAAGTGCTGGGATTACAGGCTGAAAGACAGATGAAAGGAAGTTCAGAGAAAGCTCCTTCTTGCAATTGCTCTTCCCCAAGCACCCTCAGTTTGAAGTAACAAGTCTGCCAAAGCAGCATATTTGGGGGCAGCATTTTCTGAACTCCTTCATAAGTAAATACTCAAAGGTCATGTGTAAAAAGCCAGTCTTCTGAGAACTAAATAAATATCACAGATTTGATGTCTGAGTCAATGCTTTCTAACGGAAAGGCAGCTGCATTGATTATAAATATCTTAGCTAATGCCACACCTTGTAGGATTTTGCAAAATGAGCAGTGGAGATTATGCTGATTCAGCTGGTGATTTCAAAACCTAAGCTTTATCAACTTCACAATTAGGCCCCCAAGTTGTGTCTTGCCCAGAATTAAAAGACTGTAAGTCAGGCTCGGGAGTCATCAGTCCTCTGAAAGTTCATGACAAAGGAGGAATGTCCCTTGGTTCACCCACAGACCATAGATAGCCAGTGGGAAGAGATGGAGATATGGGGGGAAAGAAGGTACAGCGCTAGCAATTATACCTGTTAACACACAAACCCTGATTCTAGGTGCTATGTCAGGCATTTTGCACGTACTATATCATTTAATAAGAGAACAAACCTAATCAAGAAGGTAAGAGAAAAGAGGAACAAAAACCACGAGTACATGCTGCAGAAGCACACTGATACACACAAAGGCCTTAGTAGCAACTAGGTCATGATACACACACACACACACAGACAGCTCACCCTTGATCACTTAAAAGGGCTTTCACCTAGAATTCTCACAGGAACTCTGTAGGGAAGATATGATTATTCCATCTTTGCTGCAACAACTGTCCAAATACAGGCCAGACACGGTGGCTCACACCTGTAATCTCAGTATTTTGAGAGGCTGAGGTGGGAGGATCCTTTGAGGCAAAGAGTTCATGTCCAGCCTGGGCAGTATAGCAAGTCCTCATCTCTGCAGAAATTAAAAATAAAAAAAATTTAGTCCAACTGGTGAGGCAAGCCTCTAGTCCTAGCTACTCCGGAGGCTGAGGAAGGAGGATCACCTGAACCCAGGAGTTCAAGGTTACAGGGAGCTATGGTCGTGCCACGGCACACTAGCCTGGGCAACAGTGCAAGAGCCTGTCTCAAAATAAAATAAAATAACGAAATTAATAAATCAAATCTGTCCAAATACAGGTCCCTTTTTACAAAGTCAGCCAATGTTGCCTGGTCTTGCTCTAAATATTTTCTACTAACAGTCTGTTTAAATTTATAGTACTCCAAATGTTGCCTTACTTTCTTGATATCTTGTGTAGTTTATGATAGGAAAACGATATCTCTGGCTTCAGAGAATTAACTATGCATTAGTTTAGACAATAGGTCATTGAAGAGATTGAGAGTGCACTGAGATAGATTTTAATGTTACCCTGAATAAGCAGCATTAGATTACAATGGCACTTCTCAGCACCGTTTGCTATCTAGTGTATTGTATTACCTGATGATGCTGTCTGTATTCCCTCAGTGAACTTCCTCAGCAGGAAGCTCCCCCTTCGCAAGCTGCCTCCTCTGTGGGGCACACATTCCAGTTGCCTATGCCTGGGTCTCACTCCAATTGTCTCTCCCCATTGCTTACAACATGAATGTTCACATCTTCTTCCAGACCGCATGCTTTTTCCTTCTCTGGTTAATCTTCTGTGTCCTTTCTTGTGAAGATACATAAATGAGGAATTAAATGCTTTCAAATACAAGAAGTCTTCTCTGACTCATTTTTCAGTTATTTAGCAATTCATCATTTCAACTTTTATTAGATAATTACATATTTGAGTGCCTTTTTGGACCACGCACTGTCCTAGGCTCACCATATCGTCAAGGAACCTCTCAGCCCTATATTCCTCCATTAATTTTCCCATGACAGTCAATCTTCTAGAGAGAGTAGCATACACTCTAGAGGCTATTCCCAAATTCTTACAGTCCCCCTTCCCTATTCATTCTTCTACCATCTGCATTATGACTACTGCTCACCCTACTGCATGGAACTGCTTTGGTAAAGATCACGTCTGAGCAGCTCATTGTCAAATGTACTGGGAACCTCTCAGGTCTTACTTAATCTGATGTCCCCTGAAACTTTTAACACTCTCGAACACTCACTCCTTTTGTGAGCTCTGCTTCCCTGATTTCTAGGACACTCATCTCCCCAGGTGTTCCTTCAGCCCCTCTGCTTCCTTGTTACCCTCTTGTCAGGGTCTCTTTTTTCCATCTGCCCTTAGGTACTGTTCCCCAGATGTCCAGCATCAGCCCTGTTCTCTTCCCACTTGACATATTTCTCCTGGGAGATCCCAGCTTCAGCTTTGACTTACACACAAATGACTCTCTCCATCCCAGACCTCTCTCCTGAGCTTCAGATCTCAGCATCTATTTGCTTCCTGGGCTTCCCTTCTTGATATTTTATTGGCATTTGGCAGTCAACACTCCCCGAGCTGAACTCCTCCTCATCCGTGAACATGCTCTGTTTATTCTCTTAAATAAGTAAATATCTTAATACCTTAAATAAATATCCTCAGAATCGGTTTCCTCCCTGCTATTCCATTGCCACCTCTTCAGTTTGAGCCTCCATCTTCTGTTCTCTCCTAAAGGGAATCTCTGTTTCTGTACTCACTTTCTTCTACTCTTTCCCTATCCCATTTCAGGAACGATCTTTCCAAAGCACTCACAAGACTTCCCTGCCCCTCCATTTTAATTCCCTCAAAATAAGTGTCTATGAATATACACAGAATAAAGTGTATATTCCTCAGCATGGCATTTCAGGGTTCTATACCTTACCCCAAACTCTTTCCTTGCTGCTATTACACATACTGTGGCAGCTCAGGACACAACACCTCAAAATATGACCGTAGGAGGCCGAAATATGCCACTCTGGGATATACTTCTTTGGCATATTTTGAGCAGGTTATTCTGAGAAACTGCAGACACAGGAGTAGCTCTGAAAAGCTGTCCTTTGGTAAAAGAAATTTACTTCCGTAAAGGAAAACAATTTTTATAGGACTCTCATCAACCAGGGAAGATCTTATCACAGAAGATGAGAATGAAGGTTGACACTTTGCCCAGATGGACTTCATCACAGGCTGTTACAGATTCTTCTGATAGGCTACTCTGAAACAACTTTTATTACCCGAGAGAATTTTTATCCACATAATGAGACAACCTTTGTTTGCCACACGTTTCCTCCCCTCACCCTCCCATGATGTGTGTCACCACCACTCCCAGAAGCACCAAGCCCCTCTTGCTTTCTGTAGCTCAGGGATACTAAATGAGCTTCAATCATCTGGCTCTTCTTCCAGTCTCAGATTCTGTGGGACTCCTGTACATATATATACAATTAAATATGGTTTTATTTTCCTGTTAATCTGCCTACTGTCCATTTTTCATAGACTCAATTATCACAGCCTCAGAGGGCAGAAAATCTTCCCTCTCTGCACAATACTCCACTCTCTAGCCATACAGACCAATTCATCATTCGCTGAATGGCACCTCCTCCTCCTCTCGGGGTGCCTTTGGACTCCCGTTTCCTTTGTCTGCAGCATCATGCCCCACCTTCTCTAGCATGAACTAATTGACCAACTGTCATTCATCCTTCAAGCCTCAGGTCAAGCGTCTCCTCATCTGTCTTAGTTTGTTTCCTGTTACTTCTAATAGAATACCTGAAAGTTTATAACGAAAATGAACTTTTCTTATAGTTATGGAGGCAAAGTCCAAGGTCAAAGGGTCACATCTTGGTGAGGGCCTTCCTGCTGGTGGGAACTCTCTGCAGGGTCCAGAGGTGGAGAAGGGCATCACATGGCAAGAGGGCTGAGTGTATTAGCTCACGTCTCTCTTCCCCTGCTTTTGAAGCCACCAATCCCATTCCCATGATAAACCCATTAATCCATGAATGGATTATTCCATTCATTAGGGCAGAGCCCTCTTGATCCAATCACTTCTTGAAGGTCCCACCTCTCAATACTGCCACGTGGGGGATTAAATTTCAACAAGAGTTTGGAGGGGACAAATGTTCTTTTTTCTTTTTTAATATGTATTTTGTATTTCAACAGCTTTTGGAGTACAAGTGGTTTTTGGTTAAATGGATGAATTATATGGTGATGCATTCCAAGATTTTAATGCACCTGTCACTTGAGTAATATATGATGGTAGTGTCTTTAACTTTCTGAGTCTCCAAAGTCCATTATATCACTGTCTCTGACTCTGCAGACTCATAGCTTAGTTCCTACTTGTAAGTAAGAACATACAGTATTTGGTTTTCCATTCTTGAGTGACTTTACTTAGAATAATAGCCTCCAGCTCCATCCAAGTTGCTGCAAAAAACACTATTTTGTTACTTTTTATGGCTGATTAGTATTCCGTGTTGTATATATACCACATTTTATTTATCTACTCATTGGTCAATGGACACTTAGGTTGGTTCCATATCTTTGGAATTGTGAATTGGGCTGCAATAAACATATACGTGAATGGGTTGTTTTCATGTAGCGACTCCCAGTAGTAGGATTGCTGGATCTAATGGTATATCTACTTTTAGTTTTTTAAGGAATCTCCACACTGTTTTCCAAAGAGGTTGTACTAATTTACATTCCCCCCAGCAATGTATAGGCATTCTGAAGGGGACAAATATTCAAACCACAGCACCATCCAGGAAGCTTTCCTGACACTTCCCCAACCTCCAAGCCAGGTGAAGTGCCCCTCTTAAACAGCACCATCAGGGTCTTATGTCACTTTTTACACAGGATTGTAATTGCTGGGGTGCTAATCTGTCTCCCCTATTCCCTTTGAGCTACGTTAAGACAGTAAGTACTGATTCTTGCCTGTATTTTCCCAGCACCACTGTGTATCGAATGAACGAATCAACCAATGAAGTCTATTTGGGGAGTAGACATTAACAAATAATTACCTGGCAGTCCATGACAATTGACAAAACTGAGATTTATGTAGAAGGGCTGAGGAAACTCAGAGGAATAGTCACCTAACCTGCTTGGGGTGGAGAATCAGGGAAGGCTTCCCAGAGGATGTGGCATCTGAAATGCAAAGGCACCCCAGGATGAGGAAGGTCATCTGCAAGGACACAGAGACTTGAGGGACTGGGGCTCCTTTGGACACTGTAGTGGAGCACTGCAGAATAGGAACCCTGTGGGGAGTAGCTCAGTTTTGAACCTGACAAGGTGGACAAAAGTGGGCTAGGATTCACTTTTCAAATACCACTATGTCTATGCAATCCTAAAATGATTAGACATCCTGTTTATTTGAGGTTTTGTTTATTTCCAGTTTTGTTTATCCTGTCCCACCTATGCTATAAGATTTCTTTTTCCTTAGACGTGTCCCTAGGTACCACGGACAACATTTTGGCCAGCACATAGTAAATGTGCCTATTTGACACTGATTTTTTAAAAAGAGGCATACAATACAGCTTTTCAAAGCAAAATGTTTCTAAACGCTATTAGTTTATTTAGCTATTTTCATTGAATACCATTTCCAAAAGGTTAGGGATAAAAACTGAAGGTGAAATAAGCATAGTTTTAATCACATGAGAGTGTTGTAATGCCAAAAGTAAAAAAAAAAACAAAACAAAAACAAAACTGCACCTCACTGTTTTACCACTCTCTTTAAAGTGATGACTTACATAAGATTATAAAAGAAATAAATAAAAATTTATCAACTAGCTTGTTCCGCCCATTTGTGCTAGGAACACTGTCTTCAACAGGAGCCCAAATGTGGGCTGGGATCTGTCTCATCTCTGGCCAGTGTCTTCCTCCTCCTTGCTGTGCCAGGAGCCCCTCTTAAAGCCACAGTGCCACTTGAAGGGCTCTTTATACATTGCAGATTCACTCACGGAAGGAGGAATTTTTATTCAAAGACTTTGATACATAATGAAAGGTACCCGCATTTCTTAAATTAGACAAGCTAGGGGGCTAAATGACCCTTGTAACTGAATTTGTCCCTGTTTCATCATTAGTCATCTTTAGATGCATGAATGTGGACTTTTCATGGTAATGGAAACAGTTGTGACATTCTGGTTAAAATCAAACTTCCTGAAGGCATTCCTTGAGACAATACCCACCCCCTTCTAACTAATTATTTTTATAATTGCAATTTTCTTTTGCTATCTTCCCCATCCCCCTAATATATTAAAAAGTTTTATTTCTCAGAGTTTATATGCAAAACATGCACATAAAAATATGGTATGTTTTCTTATGAAATATTTTCCCAAAATACTTGGCTTTAGAACTAAGTGTCTTTCACTGACAATAGCATTTCCTTAATATAGGCGGATAAAAATCACTGCAAGTTAGGTAAAGATCAAAATATTATCTGAAAAGAAAGGGCAGAGATCAAAATTGACCATACAAAATGAAAATGAAATAAAGAAATGCAAGGAATCCAGGTAATAAACAGAGTGAGGATAAATCACCATCTGATAGTGAAAGTAGGCCTGCTTTTAAAGTCACTTAAAAAAAAGAGAGAGAAACAAAAAACAGGAAGTTAGTTTTGATAGTCTCTAAGGCCTCTTCTGTTCTGGAATGTGATGCTTCTATGAAATTTATTCTTTGTTTTCATTTTAAAATCGAAGATGAAATTATTTTATGAGAGAGGCCAAAGCTGACTCATAGTTTTTGAGCCCACCCTACCATTTCCCTCTAGAGTACCCAGCGGCATT